AAGGATGTGGCCTGGATACGCGCGGGGATAGAGGTCATACGTGCAATGACCGTGGATAGAACCAGAACGCAGGTGTACGAGGAAAAAGAAGGAGAGCGCCTGGGCCTCGCAGCAGTCAGTTTGTGTCGGCTAGTGCTTTCGTCAGCTAGAAAGAAGGGAGAGACAGGCTAGGCCCACCAGGAGACCGGAAACCTTTTTCGGGATGGTCTTGGGGGGGATGGGGGGGGCCGACTCCGGGTCTCGTCGGTGGCTCCCAACTCTCTGGCTAGTGGCGGGAAGCGCGGGGCATCAGACCGCTAGAGCGTTCGATTTCAAGAACCACCTGTAGCCCAAGATCTTGGCTAGCCCGCCGGGCTACACCTGATCCTGCGGAGCTAGCCAAGGGCTCCACGGATTTCCGCTATCTTTTGACCCAGAACCGGGTGCCGGATACATCCCAGACTACCTTGTTCAAGGCTGGGATAGATACGATAGCAAAGTTTTCGGCGAGCTTCAAGGACGAAGCCGATCTGAAATCGGTGCTAGTCAAGGACTTCTCAATTGAGCCGGAGCAAACAGGGCGCTAGCAGCTGCCTTTGTGGTGGCCTGGAGAGCGGCCCAAGCTCGAACCCGCGAGCAGGCGGATAGAGAAGCGGCTAGCGAGGTCCGGGAATGGGCCAAGCCCATTCCCCAAACAGAATACATGGCTATGCGCCAGTCCTTCGCGCAGAAATTTGGCGAGCCCGAGGATAAGCATGTTCCTGCGAAGGAATACATAGAGCGGAAGCTCCACGAACTGGAGACGGGCGAGTTCAGGGCAGAACCCCTGAATGAGGTGCTGTTGCCATCAGGCCCAGAACAGCTACGACTCCGGCTAACAGTGATGCAGAATGCCCTCTTGATGATAGGTCTGCAGCACCCAGGGAGATCGGAGCTCAAGGATATCGACTTCCAACTTTTCGAGAAGTACAAAGACTACTTGCTAGGAGACTTCTGCTATGGGCTACGTTCCAACGAGGCTAGCGGCTCCTTGGCGCCTCCATGGACGCTGGTGCTATCCTACGAGAATGCTATCAGGAAGCAGGCCTATAAGCAGATGGTCTTGAAGGGGATAGGCTTCGCAGATGCGCTAGTCCAGTCCTGGAAAGATGCGGCTACCAAAGAACGACCCCGCTATCGCTCTGCGCCGAAAGACCACAGCCGTGGTCTTGGGATAACAACCAGCCGGAGGGGCCTGGCAAGAAAGGCAAAGGCAGGGGCAAGGGCAATAACGGGAAGGATAGCAACAAGAAGGCTAAGGCCGGCACCTTCCACCGCACTGAGGATAATAAGCCGATTTGTTTTCGGTTTAATCTGAAAGGCGGGTGTAAGAAAGGGGATAAGTGTCACTTCGTCCACGTTGTACGAAGTGTCGCGGCGAGCGCTCGGCGATCAACTGCCCCGGGGCGGCTACGTCGTCAGCGGCGGCTAACTGACTTCCTGCGGCGGCTGCCGTCCCGTCCCCTTCGGCTACGACACCAACGGCGACCTCGCCCCGGCGACTTCAGGCACTCTACCTCTTCTCGGGAAGGGATAGACAGGGCAGCTTCCAATGGCACCTGCAGAAGCTCGCTTCCACCTTTGGCTATGATGTGGACGTCTGCTGCGTGGACCTGGCTAGAAATCCCCGAGCCGACTTGGCTACATCCAAGGCGAGATCCCGATATCTTGACTTGGTGCAATCGAGGACCTACGACATCGTGGCTATGTCGCCGCCAGTGGCTACCTTTTCGCGGGCTACATGGGCTAAGCACAAGGGCCCCAGGCCGGTCCGCAGCTTCTTCGGCGAGCCGCGTGGATTGGCGGCCAAAGAAAGAGACCGGGCGATTCTTGGTAACAGTTTTGCTGATTTTTCTTTTGAAGTTGCTACGGCTGCTCTCGCTTCGGCTAACTTCTTCGTGCTGGATCAGCCAGAAGATCTCGGGGCTATGCCAGCGGGTCCCCGCAAAGGCCAGAGACCGGCTAGCATGTGGCAGTGGCCGAGCCATACCGCGCTAGCCGACTCAGTCAGCCTGCACTTGGAGAGCTTCGGAGCAAACTCGGCGAAACCTACCCGGCTACTCCTCAAGACAAACCGTGACCTCCCGGCTACTCTGCACGAGGGCCTGCCAACCTACGACGACTCGGGCTACTACACGGGCCCCCTGCCTCTGTCGGCTACGACCACGTCTGCGGCGAGCCAGCGCATGCTGGCTACATCCTCCCTCGGCGAGTGGCCCTCGACCTGCACGGCTACTGCTGCGACTGCCTCCGGATCGGGGAAGCCACCAGTGCAGGATACAGCTGTTCAGGAGGAGCTCGGCTACATCACCAACCATCCAGAGGGACCGCGGCTACAGGGCGGCCAGGGTTTTCATGGCGATGCCACCAGAACGACGGGATAAAAGACTTCCATGATGGTGGTGGGCTATGTTCTCCTGGGCGATGGCCCCGGCACTTTCGGAGACATGCTGAAGGCGAATCCTGGGATTGGCTGCGGGCTAAGATTAGGGAGATTGTGGTCCGGCGAGCGGGTTCCGAAAATGAACTGGAGAAGGAGGCCTTGCGTATGGCTATGGGGGGCGAATCTGGATGCCAACTGGTCCGGGATGGCCGGCTACACGAAGAGCTTCTGCAACTCCTTCAGAGCTGGATAGAAGGCCAGGACCGCAGCGAGCCCAACCTGCTAGAAGTTCCACCTGCTGTGGGCGATCCTCGACCCGGATAGAGACTTCCTGCGTCGGGCCGAGGAGGGCCTGCCTTTGGGGATACTGGAAGGGCTACCTGGAACTCCACATGTGTTCGAAGAGCACACCTCCTGCCGGCTAGACAATGCTCCGTGGGAACCTGTGCTAGCATGGGTGCCGAACTACTCCTCCGTGGGCGACCACCGGGATTTCGTGCGGGCTAAGTTCGACGAGGACGTGGAGGAGGGCCTCATGGAGAAGATGACCCTCGGCGAGTTCAAGGCGAGGTTTGGCGAGCACAGAGCTATCGCTTCTCTGGCCGTGATAGTCGAGGACGAAGAGAAGGATAAGAAGAGGATAATCCACGACGCGACCCACGGCGTCAGGGTGAACCACCGGACACGCTGTCGGGATAAGATCCGAGCTCCAGGGGCTAGGGAAAAGAAGCAGATCCTCCGCGAACTGATCCGCTGTGGCGAGATTGCCTTTTCGGTTGTGGGGGATATCTCGAAGGCCCATCGGAGGTACAAACACCAGGCTAGTGAGCACGGCTTCATGGGCTGCCAGATAGACACCGAGGAGACGATTCCCGGCGACCCGGATAGCCAGATTGTCTACGTCAACAAGGTGGGCACCTTCGGACTTTCTCCGGCGAGCTACTGGTGGACTAGGATAGCTGCATGTGGGCTCCTCACCCTTCTAGGTCCCCTCCCTCTGGCAAGGGCTTGGGCGAGTCTGGCGAGCCTCCGGTACAGGTGCTAGGGGGAATTGCGACGCCGCCAGAGTTCCTTAGCAAGGCGAGGAGGAGAAGAGCAAGAAGCTCATCCTGGATAGGTGCTACGACCACCTGGTCCGCCAAAGCTTCCGGCTTCTCGAGAGGCTAGAGGAGTCCGAGCTGGTGGCGGGACAACTGGCCGACGGAAGCTGTCTACCTGTGGATACAGGAAGCTCGGGACACGGCCGATCTGGAGAGAAGGGTGCAGGGGCTACGGGCGCCAAGCCTCATCTGGATGTCCCTGGGGAAACGTCCCGGGATAGAGGGCATCGACCAGCAAGAGGATAGCGAGCCGGAGCCCCCGAACGGCGAGCGCCAGAAGAAGCTACTCGACGAGGGCGCGCTGCTCCAGGCGAGGGAGGAGAGGCTACTTGGCGTCTGGACGGCGAAGCTCAGGGACGAGCTGGAGACGGCCTGTTCACCGGCTGCTTCTGCGACGGTGACGGCGAAGAATGTTACGCGGCCGTTCGCATGCCGCGCGAGGATCGAATGGGCGCCAAATCAGCTCACTCCTCTGTGCACGGCTTGTGATCGCAGGTTCGACATATGCCATTTCTGTCGCGGGATCCCTTGGGTGACGCCTCCTGCTCACCGGGACCTGGGTTGGAAGTTGGGGCGGATCCACCCCTGAACCTGGGATTCACCGATTTACTATTTGGTTCCGGAAGGCACAAACGCTCGCCCCCACCAAGGTGTGCTCAGAGCGCCGTTAATGGCTCCATATGCGGGTCGGCCGTTGGATCCGCGGCCGGCTACGCCCGGGCCCGCTCCTTTGCCGGCTCCCAAAGCCCCGCCGACTCCAGCGCAGATCGCTGCTTACAATTCGAACAACGCGGGTGCTCGCCGTGCGAAGGCCAAGGCGACTCCGGACGCTGCTTGTCGAGCCGTTGAGAGACAGCTCATCGATTTGCTCGGTGCAGCTCCGCTCGATGACGATCCCATCGAGGAGCCCTCGCCGCAAAGCGGCGATCCGATCGAAGACTTTTGATTTTGTTCGCGGGGAATATCGCTCGTCTGATGTATGTTGCGGTCCGTGGTGAATGCCATGGCGCACCACCGGTGATCGGGGTTCCGATCGGACTTGTGAAGATCGAACGAAGTTTTGATGATCGGACTTGTGGCCGACTCCCGCGTTGCGGTCGCACAAAAAGTGACCGCCACCTTCGGCTGTTCAGCGAGGGTACCGAGCGTGTACGATCGTAGTAACTGATGCATATATATATATATATATATATGGAACTGTTTGGGGTCGTGGGTGGTGTACTCTTTTAGCCCTTTATTCCTTGCGCGGTGCTGATTGTGGCCTCGAGGCAATACTGGCTGCTGTCACGTGCTCAGCGAAAAAGAGGAAATCCTCGAGATCGAGAGATTCATGAGCGAGGGTCTGGGCTTTTGGAGTGCTGAGGCCAAGATGCAGATGGTAGAATCGTGGCCGAGTGTGATTCGGCCTGTAACCCAGAGTTCCGCCGCCTGGAAAGTGGGAATGCCAGCGGGGCGCAGCCGGGAACTGCAGAGCTGCTGAGGCTGTGAAGGATGTGGGGATGCCCCTCTCCTTGGCCTTTCCGCATGAGAAGCCCAGCCAGGGCCCGGGAGGCGAAGAGCGGCCCGGAGCCAAGGGCGTCAAGCGAAGCGAAGCGAGATGCGTTACGAAGCGATGCGTCGCGGTATCGCATCCGCCGATGCGAGGCCGACGCACGTCTACGATCACGGGGCCGCCTACACTGGTAGTTGGCTGGGAGAGCAGCGAGAAGGCTACGGTGTCCAGGCCAGTCTGCCCAGTGGCCAGTGTGGTGCAACGGCCTTTGGGTGCTGTGCCAGGTTTGGCCGGACGGAGCTCGTTACGAAGGAGAGTCGGTTGCCTTCAAATTTTGGCACCGTTTTGCCTTTGCGTTTGCGAACCGCTCACAGCCCTCAGGGCAGTGGAAGGCCGACAAGGCACACGGTTGGGGCCGGCGCGGCGCCCAAGCGCAAGTCATGATTTCTGCTTCTTGCTACTGTTGGCAGCAAAGGTTCGTTCATGCGGATGGCGATGTGTACGAAGGGGAGTGGTTTGGGGACACCGCCCACGGGCTGGAAGCTAAGCGTGGCTGGCGGGCTAAGAGCGGTCCGTGTTGCAGTGACAGACCGCGAGGCAGGGGACCTACAGCCATGCAGACGGGCCGCTGACCCAGGGCTGTCCCAATGCGGGGACTGGGACCGGGACCCTCCATGATGAACATTTTTTGGTCTGCTGAGCCCACGGGGCTTTGTCACTTGGCAAGGGAACCCGGCGGGTAAGGATCGCATGCTTGGTGCTCACCGCGGCTCAGCTTCAGGTCCAAGTACGAGGGGCAGTGGGAGTACGACCGTCAGCACGGGCATGGCGTGGACGGGGCCTCGCTTGTCACGAAAGCATGCCCTGTCAGTGTCTCTCCTGCAGCGAGGAGCACTGGGTAGATGGCGCGTGCCTCAGGTGCTGAGGAGTGATGCTCAGACTGTTTTCTTCCGGTCATGGTGCAAATGCAGGTGCGCGCTACGAGGGAACGCGATGCACTCAGGGACGATGGCAACAGAAAGCAGAAGCAAGCAGCGATTTCCGACGGGTGGTTGGCGGAGGTATCAGGCTGGGAAGAAGCACGGCAAAGGGTAGTTCTGGGCTTAGTCTCATCCGCGTAAGACGGCGTGACTTCAATTGTTCCTGGGCCCAGTTTCACCTGGGCTGATGGCTCTTCCTATGATGGTGAGGAGTGCCATGCAGAGTGCCATGCAGTATGCAACTTTGCAGTGGGTCCATGCAGGGCCCATGGGCCTGGTGTTTTCTCCTCCTGAGCGCCAGTTCTTCAACAACGACATCCACGGCTCTGGTGTTTACTCCTGGGGCGACGGGCGGAAGTACGAGGGCCAATGGGAAGGACAGAGCCAAATCGCAGAGCCTGCAAGCATTGGTGATCTGATGACTATGTGCTCCCCAGGAAATCGGATGCACGGCAACGGCAAGTTCAGCTGGTCTTGGGCTGAGCGGTGCACGGCTGCTTCAGCCTCTTTGTGTGAAGCAGCTGCGAGGCCAGACGGACGACACTACGAAGGAGAATACATTCACGACATCAAGGCATGAATCCGCATGTCCCGTCACTGCGACATGACTCACATCTACTCTACGCACCTCGCTTTCAGCATGGCTATGGGATTTTCAAATGGCCTGATGGCAGAGAGCCCGGAGCCCACAGCCGTGCCACGGGCAGCTCTTGGATTCAGTCGAAGAAGCAAAGAAGCAGAGCAGCAGCAGAGCAGAGGTATGACGGCCAGTGGCGGAATGGGAAGCAACACGGCATTGGATGGCGACGCACTGAGAGGATCTCCTAGTCTCTGTGTGTGCATTTTTCTGGCGAAGCCCGCGCACTGTGTGTCTCTTAGGTCCTCCGCACCGAAGCAGGAGAAGCGCAATGGCGAATGGATGGACGGAAAACGAATAAGGTGGGGGGGGGGGTTGATTTTGCAGCTTCGCAGGCGTAACCGTGTACAGTAAGTAGCTCAGGTGGATTGGTGAAGAGAAGCCGAAGACTCAGAGCGACAGAGCGACAGAGCTCCAGGACGAGGAAAACCCCGCTGCAGGTCCCTCGAGGCGACCTGAAGGGTCACTTCGCGGAGGTGTGGAGGAAGCGGAGCTTCAAGTGTTGGGGATCTCATTCAGAAGCCTTTAGAATCCTTTAGACTGTAGACTCCTTAGACTCTTTTGACTTGAGTCTGATCAACTCGTAGACAGGCTGCTGCAGAACGGATCCCCTTCTCTCCCACATGGGAGCGTCTCACATTAGTGCTCTGTTAGGCAACGACCTACTCGAAACGCGAAATGCCTTGTCAGAGCAAGACGCAGGAAGAGATCTGCAAGGGAAAGGCACATGTGACACTCAGTCTCAAAGACGCCGGTCGGCTCACGGCTCAAGCTCAAGTTACGGGGGTGGGCGGGGCCGTCCGGGCGGGGTGGTCTTCCGTCGGCGGACGGAAGATGACGCCCGGCGGGCGCCGTTTCGGCAGATGAAGCGGGGCCTGGGTTTGGGCCTGGGCCTGGGCCTTGGCGGCGCGAAGGACGCGAAGCGTTCGCTTCGCACCACCGAGGCCGAGTCCTGGTGCTGCTGCTTCCGGTGGTGGTGGGGGCCCCAGCGCCGAGCCAGCGCCGAGCCTCGCCGAGAGTCCCATGCTGAAGCGAAGTTCTCTTCAAGGCGTCAGAGCCCCTCGGATCCATTCGCGCCCGGGGCCCGTCCCACTTCTCCTTGAGACAAAGACGTCTCCTCTTCTCTTCTTATGTAAGGGCCAAGGGCGAAGGGCGAGCCTTGTCAGGCACTGGAGATCGAACCCCCGAGCTGCCAGCTCCAGCCACTGGCTCAGCTGGTGGCTGCGCGAGCTCTGGAGGATGTCGGTACTGCAAGCCGCGTGTGTTGAGCGTTGCAACTGACATCCAAAGAGCATCTAAGTATGGGGTCGTTGCCTTGTTGGCCCCCCAAAATAACACTATGCCGCATGCCCGAAGATATAAGGCAGTAATTGACAGCGAGACTTGTACATGTACAACACGTTCAGCTCATGAAGCACGTACAGTACATGGAGGTGACCAATCTGTGAGCAATTCTTCTTGTTGGACTAGGTCAGACAGTCAAACAATCGGACAGTCAGACAGTCAGAAGGCGGACACTCGGACCGTCAGACAGTCAGACACTCCCCTCTACCAGCACTGACGTCCAGACCCTCCAAAACTCTCAATGAGTCTGACTGTCTCCGTTAATGCAGATGTGAGTCGAGTCGCAGGGTGGGGTTCCTTGGAGTCCGTATCAGCATGGAGTATTTCTTCAACCAGGGCGTCGCTGCAAGAGCTGTAAGAGCTTGAAGATCCTCGGGTTCCGTGCCGGCTATTGCCACATGGTGCACAGTATGAGCTGCGCCCCATCAAGTGTTTAGGCCCCTTGACGGCTTGATCAGGACTTGTGTTGGGGTCTTTACTCTACAGAGGGTGCCTGTGTCGGGGCCTTTCGCCCACGTCGGGAGCTCTCTTGTGTGCTCGTTGCCTCCGCATATTGCCTCGCCTAGCAGCAGCTTGGACGGTTGCCGCGAACTTGATCCTCAGTTTGATGGCGCGGTGGTCTTCAGCTCATGGAGAAAACGAATTGTGCGCGACATCGTGTTCCGTTGCGCGGCATTCGCAGATCTTCATCCTGAGCGACAGCGCCTGGGTTTCTGCTGTGGCAACCTTGGATTTCGCCGTGACGGCGACCCAGCGACAAGATACACTCGCGCAGGCCAGCATGCAGGCTGGTGTGGTTGCCGAGGCTTGTGCCCGCCACAAAGAGGATTATCTACACAGCCGCAGACGGCACGTCGCAGGGGGTCAAGTTCGTGCCATTGGTGCGTGACACGACTGGGCACTGGGAGCCTCGCGCTGGGCGTGTGCACGGATCGCCCGACCAGTCGCTGCCTGTGCTGGAGGCGAACCTGTGTCGATGCATGATGCTTTCCTCCAGGAGCCCAGTGTTGGAGTCTTCACTGCTCGGCCCGAGCTCCCCTGCCGTCGGACTGTGATGCGGGTTGACTGATTGGCTAAATGCTGCTTTATGCTCCTGCCACCACTGACCACTTTTCCTTGCTGCTTGCTCTCAGTTTCTTTTTAGCCTTCATACACGATCGCACATATCATGTTGCTGTCCAGCAACGCTGCTCAGTGATGCTTGTTTGCACGTGTGTACATGCTGCATTTGGGTTGTAGTTGCTAGATTTTTCTGCTACCCACAGCATCAAAACGCTGACACCACTTCACTGCAACAGCACGACATGCGGCTTGTTTAAAAGCCTTCAATTCCTGGTACGCGCGTGCAAACATCGCTACCGTAAACATGCAACCATAGTCTGAATTATGACCCGGTGCTCATGTAATCTTCAGCTTTGAATAGGTCACAGTCGCCAGTCTGCGTGCATCCATCGACGTGCAGCTTTTTTGGGCCCACCGTATGCATGGCGCCTGATGGTCGTTCAAGACACATGGCTGCATCACGTTTACGACGAATCCTTCCACAAACAATCAGTTTCTCCCTTGCCCCCTTGGAGCCAAGGCAAGCAGTTCTTCTCGTATGCACGGTGATGGCACCGTCTGTCCTCCGCTGTGGTTTAGCTGCCGGAAAGATTGCGTTTAGCAGGGAAGCTGGGAGCGAGCATCGCCTGCAAAACGACAGTCACCTGGGGTTTTCTTCACTTCGACGGCATTTCGAAGGACTTGGTCGCCGCTTCATCGTTGAAGAAGACTTGGTCCACAAAATCGAAGGAAAGAGCTGCAATCGTGGCTGGAGCCCCATCGTTGATCTCTTCGGCCATGCTGATGTCCTCTGCAGGCTTGGTGGTGCTGTTGTTCAAGCGGTATGGCGTGAAACGAATGCCATGAGCAGACCCCAAGAAGGCAAGGCCACCCCGCCGCTGTTCCGCATCCGAAAGGGTTCGAGCCAACAAAGGCCTTAAGGCCAGGCGATGGAAGGGCCCGCGGGCCCGCCGCCACCGCAAAGGGATTGCGAACTTCGACTCCGCGGGCGGTCTCAGCTCTGTGGTGGCGCCGCCACCGAGAGACCAGCTGTAGCTCAATCACTGCATGAGTCTTCTTCTTATAAAAATTTCTTAAACATCATCGACAGTCTCGTCGGCTTGGTCTGTGCTCAAGCGCTGGCAAGAGGAGGAACCAGGAAAGCGCTCAATAATGGTGATACCGGTGGCCGTCCAAAAGGGGGCAATGGCGCTGTCATGGCTTTGGGCCTTTGTTTGCAGCTAGCCTACTTCTGGGTTTCAACGGCCGAGTGAGTTGCTGCTGCAGCGGCGGGACTTGATTTTGCCGCGGGATGTGCTTTCTGATCTGCCCCTATCCTATGTCAGGGTCGTGGGAGGTAAGGCTTGTCGTTACTTACATGCAACGTCAGCATGCAACAGTTTCTGACGTTTTCACGGTGACTTTCCTGAGTTCCGCTGTCGGCCACCTGCCACCGGAAAAGCCTTTGTTCAACTGCAGCCGTTTCAAAAGCCACTGGGACACACGCCGTCTTCCAGCACCTTGCAGCTACTTGGATGGTTCCAGTTGACTGAAGATATTCCTTACATACGGTGACACGGCACGTGGCAGCAGGGTGCGCGCTCTGGAAAATTACCTTCAAGATGTAGCCGGGCAGCTTCTTCGGGGAAGTTCTGAGCAGCTTCACTGTGAGTAGGAGTGTAGAGCCAGTGCACAAATCAAGAAGTGTACCAAGCTCACCGGCCCAGGTGCGGATCATTCGCGCTATCCGAACTCTGCGGTGTGGATCATTCGCACTATTCATCTTACGATGGCTCAAGTTCAAGTCAATCAGAAAGTGTGCAGTCCCATACCCCCTTCGGGGGGGAGGGACATATCAGGGTCATTTTGGAGCTTGCTGTGGAGGCGGTTTGGCTTTCAAATTGTCGCAGGTATTGCCATGGAGGGTTCCCCCGCTCCTACCCATTTTAGTAGGGTTAGTGAGGCAGGTAGTTCCCCAGGTCAATGTCATTTTATGTTCGCCCAAAACGCTCCAAGCGCGACTTCCTACAACCAGCAGCCTCAACAGCCTCAGCAGCCCAGCTTTGACATCCTGCTGCGACAGCTGACTAGCATAAGCATACCCGCAGAAGCATTGCAGCAGCTTGGGCATTCGCGACAGTTGGAAGAAGTTGTCGAGTCCATGACGCGACGACACACAGTTCATGAGCGACTGCTCTTGGCCACTGATCAGCATGTCCGTCTTCTGCATCAACGCCACGATAGCCTAATGCATCAGCTACAGCAGTTAGGGAGTCAACAAGAAGGTCGATGGCTAGCGTATTCCGAAGCAGACAGATTGCAGCAAGCATCGTTCAACGAGACCGTCGCGCAGGTGCAAGACATGGTATGTAAAGTACAATCGTTGTCTACAAAGCTCGATGAAGCCAGATGCAATCTTGGATTGTTGCAAGAGGCGGTTGGAGCGCTGCAAGCAGACGTAGTAGCTTGTGATGCAAAAATCGATGCAGTCCTCGGCAAGGCTTCTGTGTTGTCCTCCCAATCCGGCGAGGAGGAAGGGGACGCCGCAGAGCCACGAATCCGTGCTAGCACTGATCATTCTGCAGATGCGCATGTCATAAACCGAGAATCCGCGACATATCGGCAGCTCATGGAGCTGTTAATGAAGCAGCTGCTTGAAGAGAGAGCGTGGCGTGAGGCCCTTGACGACAAGCTGTCACAAGAGATATCGGCCAGGCAACAGGTGGAGCGCAGGCTGGTGTCATTGGAACAGCGTCTGGGATCCACCACTGCGGTCCCTTCTGCGCCTCAAGTGTTTGCTATGTCGCCCGAACCCAGTGCGGAAAGTCAACCTCAGATGCCAATGGATGCAACAGATAGTTGGTGGCATTTTGGGGCAGGACCGCCAGGGCTGACAAATCAGCCACCCAGATTACCGGAGCATCTCAGGAGACCAGATCCACTTGAGGGACAGCAGCCGGTAGCACCGAGCACTTGGTGTGACTCTGGAGGTTTCAGATGCTGGCCAGACAGGTCGGAAGGACGAGCAAGAGGAACACCAAGAAAAAGGAGCGTCAAATGGCGGTGCGCACGAAACGACGCTGTAAGTGTAGATAAGATCCCAGAGGGAAGGTGGAAATTGCTGAAGGATCTGCCGCAACTTGAGCTGACAGGCGCACAGACTTGGGAACAGGGTGTGCAGTTGGCAAGTTGGCGAGCTCAATGCTCGACGATCTTCAACGGGGTTGGCAGCAGCTTTGCGCAGTATGCTAAACTTGTTTGGTCGCAGGCAGAGAAGATGTACAGTGACAAAACCATCAACATGACGAAGCCAAAAGTCCCTGTGATTCGGACTGAACACTTGGACTATGAAGCGCGGCTTGCATCAGCCCTCCTGCGTATACTTCCGGAAGCCATTAAGACGCCTGCCGTTGAGAAGGCTGATGATGGATGCATTTCGAGTGCCATGCTGTGTATGGGGATTCTTTCTAGGCTGCAGCCCGCAGGCCCAGAAGAGGCGACATCCTTGTTATCCTTTTTGAGGTCCCCACCGACGGCTACCACGGCACAGGAGCTGGAGGGTTTACCGAGGAGGTACAATCTAGCCCTGCGGCGTTTGAATCAACTGCAGATGCCACCCATGGCTCCGAGTGAGACACTCAAGGCATTGCAGACTATGACTAGAGCTGTAGAGCGCAAGTACAACAGTTTTCATATGCGGCTGAATCTGTTGAGACTGTTTCCTGAAGCTTCAACGAGACCTACAGAAGAGGGTGTGAGGAGATTCAAAGAAACAGTGGAGCAGCAGCTGCATGAAATCACCGCAGATGAGATTGC